TGCCAAGAGATGGAAACCTTTCAAACTACCATTTCTTTGTCTACTGCTTCTAAGACAGAAAAGCGTGGTGGAGCAGTGGAAGCCGAAAGAAGGAAAAGCCCGTTTTGCGTCTCTGGAGTCTATTTGCTGGGAATGGGATCGTGGGTAACAGAGCATCTGGAGACTAGAAAAAAAAAAACCATCAAATGATACGGGACAAATGCAAACAAAACATGTTTAGGTTGGAGGGGTGTGTATGGAAGAGTGGGAGGCAGGAATTCAGGTCTGTACTTGCTGACTTTGAGATTAGCTTTAGGTATCTCAGCCAGGACTTCAAACACTGGATAGTCTGGCATTTAGGGTAAATTACAGATATCAATGTCATTGACAGCCACAGAGAAGAACACTACTTGAATTTTGAGGTTTTGGTGAAGAGAAGCCAGAAAAGTGGTTAACACTGGTGAGCAATGAAGTTGGAGGATCAACATAAACACTGCTTGCATGGGCAAAATAAAACAATTGGACATTGACAGCCGGTCTTAGCTATGAAGTTCTTAATGTCCTTTACAAAAGCCATTTTTATAGAGTGGTGAGTAAAATTCTTGGAACTTGTTTATTAATCCATCAATTCGTTAGGACTTGTTGCTGCGTGGTGATGGTGTATGCCAGGTAGTGGTGGCGGCAGCACACGCCTTTAATTCCAGCACTCAGGCAACAGAGGCAGGTGGATCTCTGTGTTCGAGGCCAGTCTGGTCTACAGAGTGAGTTCCAGACCAGCCAGGACTACACAGAGAAACCTTGTCTTGAAAACGTAGAAAGAATTATTGCACTTACTTGTACTAAACACTAGGAACTTGAGGTAAATTAGGAAGCCATTGCTCGTGTCCTGTAAAGTTTGGAGAACTTTGTTGTAATAACAGTAGGATGGACTTCTAAAGGAAGAGCTTGTGGATGACAGCACACACACCACACTTGAAGAGCAGAAGGAAGCAGCCACATAGTTTAAAGTAACTGTTAGGGTCATAGGATACATGAAAACAAGCCCCACCCCTTTGAGCTAGGACTTGGTAAATGATCATTTATTTTATGAACTGAAGACTGTGTTCTAAGAAAAGTGCTTATTTGTCCTCTTGATTCTATTTGGGAAAGTATTTGACAAGGTGTCATGATTTGCTTTTAGTCTGATTTCATCTCTGCAGTGCTTAGATGGTTTAATTGTTGGTTTGATCAGACACCTAGAATCTGAGCTCTTCATAAAATAACACATTAGATTTCGCAGGCAGAGTTGTTTGCCAGGATTCTCTCTTCCAAATAAGAGTGATTATTCATGGTTCTCAAGGGACGCACAAAACAGTATTTTATTCATTTAAATATTGCTTGATAGAAACCATATAATGCACCGTCTTACCCTTCTTGTGTTAGTTTCGTTGTGAAGTCCTGGCTATGAATATAATTGAAGACGGTACAAACGTCGAGAGCTTCGTAAGTCACTTATTTCATTATCTGTTTCTATGGTAGCTTTCTGTACTCTTTAGCAGCATGTCACTAGATGATAATAAAACAGTAGACATTGAAGTTACTTGAGAGAGCTCTTAAGAAGTGCAGAAACAAACTAAAAAGTACAGAAATATTTGACAAATCTAATGTAGCTATGTTAACACTTTAAGTTTCTACTTGAAAATTATTTTTCTTTCTTTTCTTTTTCTTTCTCCTTTTTTTTTCTTCTGTAAGATAGGGCCTTACTATGTATCTCAGACTAATCTTGACCTCACAGTCCTCTGGGCTCAGCTATTTCAGTGCTGGGATTACAGGAGGATCCTACCACAGCTGTCTGGAAACAGGCCATTTAATACAGGGTTTGTGTGTGTGTGTGTGTGTGTGTGTGTGTGTGTGTGTGTGTGTGTGTGTGGTGAAAACCATTTATTTTGCTTATACTTCCACAGGCAGGAACTCAAGGCAAAAACCTGGAGGCAGAAACTGGAGCAGAAGCCATGGAGGAGTCTTGCCTACTGGCTTGCTCCTCTTGGCTTGCTCAGCTTTTCTTTCTCTCTCTCTCTCTCTCTCTCTCTCTCTCTCTCTCTTCCTTCCTTCCTTCCTTTCTTCCTTGCTGTTTGTCTGTCTTTCCCTCTCTAATTAAAAGACAGTATTCCTCCAATATAACATTTTTATTAGTTATTTGGGAATTTCATACAAAGCACACTTGCTTCCTATTCCTCCCAGGTCTACCCTCTCACCCTTGTGCCCACCCCCCATCCCTTATCAAGTTCAATTTATGTTGCCCATATACTCATTGGATTATGGTCAAACTCCCAGTGAGCAGCCTCTTAGAGGAAATTGAGTCCTTCCCCACCCCCTACCCTCCCTCTACCAGAAGCCATCAGCTGTGAAGAGCTACCCTTCAGCATCTTTATCACTGTTTATAAGGACCCTTTAATGGCTTCCTAATTATTAGCCCAAGGGAGAACCTCCTCGAGGAATCTCTATGAGGATGTCTCACAGGACAAAACTTCTATATTATGTTAATTTAGGTAATTAGGTCATTCAGCAGGAGCCTTGGCATAATCCACCTCATGTAGCTGAAAAGGAATTACTACCACAGTGAGGTGATGTGGAAAAATGGCTTATATGACAAACATTGGCATTCCAGAAACCAGAATGCCTTATTGGAAGTGGTCATTAGGAAATGAGTCAGTAAAATTGAGCTGCGATATTGTTCTTAGAAAATTGGTTCAATATTTTTGAAACCTATACTTTGATTCTATGTAGTTAAAGTGATTAATTCCACTATGTAACATATCTTAAAAGAAAATAAAGCTTTAAGGGATAGTAAACCACAAGGGAGAGGATACAGTCATAAAGCCCCAATGAGCTTGGTGGCCCAGTCTCAGCCCACAGGGTTTGACATAGCCACATGGTCCCGCCACAGTGCTGGCCACTTGTTCTTTTCTTTGGGTTACTGAAACCACAGGATTAGTCACTGTAATAAAACCTCCCTAATCGTGTTTGATAATTGGTGTTTTTATTTCTATAGATTTTTCTATCGATTAACTTTTTTCTTCTCTGTTCTTGAAGGAGGATAGAGTCAAGGAGAGTCTGGCATGGTTTGGACTAGGTTCAGTTTCGGCGTATAATTCCCATCTCGCCTATTAGCTGATGTGACAGCACATTATTTCACCTGTCAAAATTATATTTCTGAGAAACAGATTCGAGAAATATCCTTCCCTTCACGCCGTGCATTCCTAATCTGAGTGACTATGAATTTACCTGCGGTGGGGTGCCCTGACACCCTCTGGGGGGGATAATGACCCCAAGCTCACTGGCTGGCCTTCACTTAGCTACGGGAGACTGGGATACAGCAGGATCTGAGCGCTTGTCATTATCAACCTGTGGCAGAATGCTTGTCACCGGGCGCTCTTGGCTGCTTAGAAAAGATGACCTTTTCTCTGTTGGTAATGAGCGCTGTGAGAGCAGCTTCTGAAACATGTTCCTCAGAATCGCGCAGTCCGTATAGTGAGGTGTGGAGGCCAAAGGCAAGGCTCGGTGACACTTTAGCTCCACTTTAAACAGTAATATGCAAACTATGACAATGGAAGCACAAGATGAAGTTGTCCCTTTAAAAATTAGCTTGACACCTCGAGGAAAGAGGAAAATCTTTCTGAATGAGGAGTACCACATAACGAAGAGGACTGGAATCCAGGTGGGCCCGGCAGCCACACTCTCTTTTGCTGCAATGGATCGTCAGTCTCCCAGATTCCTGTCATCTGAACTGGTTGCAGGCAATATCCACCGAGGGCCTGCTTGTTCCAGGAACCCTTGCCTGATCCCTAAGTGCTGACCAATGAGGCAAAAGTAAAAGTCCAGGGACTATATTCTGTGTTAGTTTCATAAAAAAGGAGACTGACTTTCTCCCATCTCTCTCTTCCTCTCCAGGAAAACGGAAAGCCCCTTTGTCTCTAAGATAAAAACCATAAGGAGACATCAAAAATGGCCTAGTAGGCCTCAAATGCTATTTGCGCTATTATGAGTGAAAATTTAAATTTTATGTGGTGGAGCCTCCAGAGTTTGAACATTTTACTTTTCTTAATGACTCAGCTTTAGCCAAAGTCATGTAACAAAGTTCATGTTTGTTAGAGATCTCTGAGGTTAGCTTGATTAGAGAAGCTAATTTCCAGATTTTAATCTTCAGGGTGATCGAGTTTAATCTCATTTTTATCTTGAGACAACATGGTATACAAGCATGTCATACCATCAGTGCAAGATTGGAAACCAGAATACTCTCATCATTGCTCTCCCTATTATTTAAGATGGCAGGGCAATAGCACAGGCGTCATGGTACAAACATATCTAAACAAACAGACATGAAATCCACTTCACATTGAAAAACCCAGAGCTAGCCCTCACTGCACCCTGAAGGGCGGCAGGCAAAGGAGAGCTGCTGAGGCCAAGAAAGTGGTAGCGGGCCAACTTCTCCCGTTCTTTAGGGTTGAGTGCCTTGCCGTCTCTCACCCCTAACACCCTGATGCTTCATTGCTCTGTTGCCTTCTGTTTTTCTGTTCATCCTTCTGTGTTCTTTTATGTAGAGTGCTTAGGAGGCCCCATCATTTCTTCAAGTGGAATAAACCACAGTATGTTCTTGTCTAATGGCTTTTTCTAATTACTTGCTTTCTTTATTGTTTGTGGTACCTACTTTTTTTTATATCAATCTCTCTGAGATTTTATTTGACTTTTCTTTATTTGTCTTTTGTTTCCTCTTCAAACTAATTTTCAGATTTCAGTTCCTGCTCTCTGTTTGTGTGTCCACCATTTTAGTCCCAAACTGTAACAAATCTAATGCCTTGGACAGAATCTGCAATCTGTTAATTGGTCTAACTATCTCTTGGCCATACGTGAATTATATGTTTTTCTATATCAATTGCTATAGGAAATCCTACAGCCAGTAGCCTTTAAGTTATCTGCCCACTTGGGCGTGGCCTCTTATACTATTTATGCCCATGTAAAGCACATGTCAGGCCTCTTTTCCGGCTGTGGGATGCGGTTGCTGTTCTCCGTTCCAGCAGAGGATATTGATTTGTGAGTCACCCCTAAATAAATAACCTTCTATTATTCTCAATTCTAAGTTAGCGTGGGATTTCTTTTAAGCATCCATCTTTAATCACTTTTAAATAAATTGTTACAAAATGCTTTTAGCATTTTTCTTCTTCCGTTTTCTCTCTCTTCGGACATGCATGCATACATACATACATACATACATTCACTACACCACATACATATGTACATATACATATCCAACCCACAAATACACACACACATACATGCTTACTGTCTATAGGACAAATGTGCATTCCTTGTTAGACTTTGTATCATCGACCTTAATGAAATGAGGTCCAGGCTTTGGTGCCTCACAGACGTAACCTCAAATTCTAGCTCGATGCTTAATATGCTCAGTATGTGGCCATTCAAAGTCTCCATTTGTTGTTTTTCAAATGCTCTTCGTGCCTCTCACATATGAAATGGAGGAATTTGCATAAGACACACACAGAGAGACACTCAGCCTGTGGATTTACGGTTACTTCCCCACCCACACACTATCCCCATCCTTGCATTTCATCACCCTCTGGGTGCTGTTCTTCCTCTTCTTCCCCAGCAACTTACAAACCACTGCCTTCCGAACTCCCAGCTGAAGCTGTGCTTCCTTTCTAGTCTCCTCTGAATCCCCATTGTTTCTGTAATCGCTTGATACGCTTTCCTTTGCCGTCTTCAGCTACAGTAAAACCGAAACCTTTGATGGGCAGAAATTTGCCTTTCATTCTTCTGCATTTTCTCCAACATCTGCTCGTGTTAGTGACATGTCACTCAGCACCCACTAAAATAGATGGAATTTTAAATATTATAAAATAGCCTTCAAATGGCCTGTTTTGAGAAAAACTCTCGGTGTCCCCAAGTAGCCTTTACATGTGTCTGTCCTCACTCAACCTCTTCCTTACATGATTTCCCACACGACATGACACCACCTGTCAGTGACTCACGAGACTGCGGGAAAACAGCTGGAACAAGAACGGAGGCTGAGTGTTGAAAGGTCAAGAGGGCAAAAGGAGGAGAGATGTGAGACAGAGAGAAACAGAGGTAAGGGAGAGGACAGCAAAATGTCCTGAGCAGGTACCAGGCACTGTGTTGAATCTTTGAACTCAGTGTCAAGTTCCAGTATAAATATATATATATATATATATATATATATATATATATATATATATGTGTGTGTGTGTGTGTGTGTGTGTGTGTGTGTGTGTGTGTGTGTGTATACACATATACATACATACACACACACACACATATATATATAGTCTGAAATATGGGTGCTTTAGGCCATTGACAGACCTTTCAGAGTCTCCTGACTAAGTTCTGGATCATTTCCGACATGTCCATCCTCAACAACTCCCACTCACTCCTCCCAGGTTAACCCATTTCTCCCATGGATTCCAGTTTACCAAACTTCGATAAGCGAAGACTGGCCCATATATAAACACTTCATTAGATTTAAGGTTTATGCTGTGAGTGATGCTCACTTAGCTGCTGTTGACTGAGAGGGATCCCAGTCACCCCAGAGAATCTATCCTACTTCTGAGGTTCTCTGTACTGCTCCGTCTCCCCCAAGCAAACCGTAGACCCATGGCAGAGTTAGGTCCTTTCCAGGCCTCATTACCTTAAGGCTCTGAGTTCACTATTACAAACAGTCAGATACCTTGAACGCCATGTGTTGAAGTGCTACGACCCCATGTTACCGTACTTCAAATAAGAAGCTAAGTAATGCAATGAGATTATAAGGGTGGGTACTGTTCCAATAGGATTAGTGTCCTTATGAGACTTTGGAGTGTCCTTTTTCTCCTCCCCCCTCCTCTTTCCGTCTTTCTGCGCCACGTGATAATACAACAGGAAGATAGCTCTCTGCCTGCCAGCAAGTCAGAGCTACAGGAAAAGAAAGAGGAAACATTAAAGTTTGATCTCTAGCTCTCTAAGAAAGTATGTTTTAGAGATTTAAACTAGGCAGCCGACAGAATCTCAGTAGGGCGTTTGTGCAGACTAACTAATGAAACCCTTTCTTTTCTTTCCTCCCTCTCTCCCCCTTCCTTCCTTCCTTCCTTCTTTCCTTCCTTCCTTCCTCCCTCCCTCCCTCCTTCCTTCCCTCCCTCCCTCCCTTTCTTCTTTTCTTTCTTTTTTCTTTTCCTTTTTTCTCTCATTTTGAGACAGGACGAATGGCTGAACTGGCAGTCTCTAGCTAGACCAGGCTAGCCTTAAACTTAGAAATCTGTATCTGTCTGTCCCTGCCTTCTGAGTGCCAGGATTGAAGGCCTGTGCCACCACTCATAGGTGCAGTGTCTTGAATTCACTGCTCCAGTAGTTCCTGATGACTTCCAAGTATAAATGAATTGCAGCCCTGACTTTATTTCTCTGGAATCTTATCTCTCTATTTTACTCTAATAATTACTCAGTATCCTGTTGTCTCTTTGACGTTTTTAAAACCAAGAACTACTATTATCGTGACTTTGCTTTGCTTATTTTCAATGGGAGTTGGGTTTAAATTACTTGGGTTATAGTTATTGTGAACAATTGAAAGCAGAAACTTAAGTTCAAAGCAAGATACCACTCAGAAGAAGCTGCACGTCAATTCAATTTGGTCTTCTAATTTCTCTCTTGTTCTCTTCTTCCTCCCTCCATCTTTGACAGACTGACATGTGAATTTCATATAACTTGAAAAAGATTAATATTCTTAGTATGTTGATATGAATGAATGAACTCTTATTTGCTTTCTGACTTCCTTGACTTTATCTCTTTTTTATCCTTTTCTTTTCTTTTAGAACAACATCCTTTGTCCTAGCTACTTTAATGAGTAGTGAGACAAAAGAGAGAAAATTAATAAGGACTATTGATATTGCTGAATTTATACAGCATGCCTTAAAGAAAAGTAGATTAAAAAAATCATGAACCCAGGTGGCAAAATTATGGAATTTATCTCTGAAGAAACATTTAACAGAGGTGATCTCATTAATCCTCACCACACGATCTCCACATCTCTGTTTCATAATGGTTGCAATTTCTCAGTAGGAAGTAAATGACTTCACTAGCATCTTCATTTTCAAAAGCCTGCTCTTCGTCTTTCTTGTCTGGGCCACTTCTCTACATTGAAAGCTTTGTGAATTATGTACGTTTTGCAGTATGCCAGTCTGCTGTGGCAGCCATAACAAAAGGCCATTGGTTGGGTGGCTTAAGCTGCAGAAACTTCTGTTCTTACTGTTGAGGAGACTGGAAGTCAGGCCAAAGAGCTGGCAATATGACTGTTTCTCAGACCTTGTTTTTTAACTGGCAGATTGTCATATTCTAAATTGAATCTGCTTGTGCATGTCCCCATCTGTGTGGTCTGTGCCCAAATCTCTTTTTGGTCAGTTCTATCTGTTTAGGACCTACTCTGAGGTCCCAATACTAACTTAATCACCTCGTTCAAGGTCAGCTTTTGAGATTCTAGGGAATTCCCTAATTCTAGGGATTAGGTCTTTGTCATAGGAATTTTAAAGAAACACAACTCACCTTTAGATGCTTAGTGTGACACTGAGAAGTAAAATTATGTCAACATTCTTCTTAGATGACTCTGAGGGGTGGCGGTCAAGGGTGGCAGTGTTTAAAGACACAGTGTTAGGGTGATGGTTCTTTGTTGGTATACAAAAGTGTTCCACCACAATAGTCTGGAATGAAGTATAGCAAGGGTTTATTTTTCTGAGGATAAACTCACAGAAAAAGAAGTAATCCTCTTTTTGCTTATATTTTGCTTGTCCAGTCAGGACAACATGCATTTTTTTCAGTGGTCAAGACAGGGGCAGTTCTTTGCCTAAAGTCCAGTTTTGCCAAGAAGACAACAAACTCCAAGTGGAGTGTCTTTGGTGCCCAACATTCTCTCAGGAATAGATCAGTGCTTCCAGGAGCAATCTTGTCTCACATCAACAAAATCCTAAGTTATTTAAATTTCATATCCTACAGTTCTTTGAAGTGTTTGAAGAATACCTATCCATCTGAAATGTATCTCTGTACATCTAGAAAACCTAACTTATATGATTATAAGTTTGACTATTACAAATGACTACCTATTAATCTATATTTCCTAGTTATACATTATATTTCAAATGAGCTGCATAAACACAGTCCTTTAAACAAGAGCAGAAATACATATATGCAGTATAACAAAATCAACCTTAAGTAGGTATCAATAACCAAGATTCATATCAATGCAAAGTATTCATCTTATATCATATCCCCCTTATTTTTATCTTTTGTTCTAGAAATTGACTGTAACCATTAATCACTTATAATCAACCCCCTTTAAGTGAAAACAAACATTTATAACCAGTCATTTTGGGAATTTAGGCATTGTTTTATCCAAACTGCTCCCTACTGTTTGTTGGGTGAAGTATTTTTATTTTTAGGGTTCACAGAAACCCTTGGTGGGGGATCTTGTTCCATCAAACCACATTAGCCTGGAAGGAATCGACAGGTTTTCATCTTCTGTAGAAACAAAACCAGAACCTCTTTTCCAAAGAAACATATTCTTAGGCTCACATTTTGAAGTCAAGAAACCTTTAAAATATATGTTGGTTTAACTTAGCAGCCCCCAGAATCAAATATTTCTCTGCAGGCAAAAAGTTCAAAGAAAACACAATAATATACATAATCCAGACTCTCTGTGTATATTCCATCTTTACAGGGCTTATTTTTTCTCCTTTAATCTACAACTGCCTTTTTTATATTACTTTTACTATCTCTTTAAAGACTTTGTTTTATTTTTAAAACTATTTCTTTTTATAACTGTCTATAAGTTTTTTCTTTTCTCTCCCACGCCTATGTGCACTTATCAAACACTGTGATGATCCATTCAGACATCTTTTTCATCTGAATCTGCCTTTATTGTGTATCTGTAATTGTTTTCTGACCAGGAGCACTTTTTTTTTTTAGGCTGACGTGGCTAGGACCAACTCCATGGCCTTGCCTGCTTGTTCTGCCCAGTCCAATGTGGCAGAGTCATGTTCACTACCTCTGCAAGCCATGATCACCACCCCAACTCCAGGGATGCAGTGGGTCTATGTAGCCATTAGGCAATTTGTAACATGCTACTCACTTTTAACTGATATGTAATAGGACGAGCATGAACCAGGAAGCCGGTTTTTAAAGGAGCCGCTCCTATGCCTGTGACCAGCAAACAAAGCCTATCTGAAAAAAAATATGGCTATCAAGAAGCTGCACTTGGTTCCCATTTCTGTGGGTCTAGAAGCCCTCTTTTTTTCTTAAACTTTTTTTAAGTTTTTAAGTGAATCCATACCCCAGATGGTGGGCACCAATTTGTTGGCATACAAGAGAGTTCCACAATAGCCCGGAATGGAGTATAACAAAGGTTTATTCATCTGGGTATAAACTCAATAAAAGAGTAGCAACCTGCAGTATTATGCATGTGTTGGGAACTGGAACCAAATCCAGTAGACATGAGATTCACACATGCTTTTTGCATGTCTTTGTAGTACATGTGACCACATCCAAAGTGAACTGGTATCTTAAAGGCTGCTTGTTGAATGAATTCCCACAGCAGTTCCTCATATAGCCTGTAATGAAATAGATACGCATGTATATATCCACATATTCATATATATGTATACATATATACACATGTTATACATATAAAGTACATATATATGCAATACATGAATATATACATATATAGGTGTATGTATGCATGTGTATTTATATATGTATAAAGTTGTTCATAAAAACAGACCAATGGCACAACATCATCTTTTGTTAACTATAGGCAATCATGCCACAAACCTTTGTTTTTATGGGTAGCCCTCCCAGTTGTACCTGGTCACTTTTAATAACACATAAGTGGTTTACCAGCACAGTGTGTTTCCTGCTAGTGTGTAACAGAGCTGTGAAATAAAAAAATAAGATACTTTAATAATAGCATTTCTAACCATGAGCTTCAGATTCCTAAAAGGGTTGATAAAATCTTTATTATACAGCCTCTTGTGTGAAGCTTCGCTTTTGGACCTCATAGTCTCTACATGTCATTATCTGCTATGGAGTCAGGGATGATGCCTGCCAGAGTTGGGCCTTTATCTCTGACTTTACTGCACTCTTGGCCTGGAAAGCCCATATGCAAAACATGTAGAAACTGGAATCTCACGTGACCTTTTACCCCATTCTGGTAATTGCATTGTATTTTGCTTTTGAAAGAACACTATGGAAAAATCATTTATAATTTAAAATAAAATATTTCCCATAGTATAGTGCATTTAAACATTTTTTTCTCAAATGTTTTTTAGAGGGATCACAGAGCCTTTAGGAGCTGTGGCCTCCTTGGAAGAAGTGACCACTGGGTGTGCTGTTAACCCCTGGCATACCTGGTGTACCTCCGGATGATCTCTGCTTCCTCATTGATGACCCAGCTGCCTCCTGCTTCGTTTGCCCCATGCTGGCCTTCCCCACTACAGTGGCCTATAAACTCCTCCACTGTGAGCAAAATAAACCCCTTTTTTTGCTCTTTCAGTTGCCTCTTTCAAGCATTTGTTCACAGTGACAAGAAAATGCTAATACAACCCAACCAGGTAGCATGTCAACATCATCATGCTTCTGAAGCTAGAAACTGACTGGGACTAGAAAGAAGGTAACCGTGACAACATCTGAGAGGAAAATATGAAGGGAAAACCCACTGGGCTAGCACAAAGAATAGTAACCAAACATCATTTACAACCAGAGTCCGAAAAATGTCATATACTTCCCAGGGTTGGCAGGAGTGATAAATTCTGCCAGGCAAGGCCTGGGCATGGTGAGGAGCCTGCAGAAGATCACAGTGACCCATGACGTTGCTATCATTTCAACACTTGATCTTCTCTTTTGTTTTTATCGTCAGGGCTTCAGGATGTCTGTGTTGTGATAGAACATTTCGAGTTCACGTAACGAGCTTTCTCGTGGCGATGCTCAGGCAAAGAACAATGTCATGTTATGACAAAGCGTTGACAATAACATGAAATCACTGCATATCGATCTATTATTAAGGAGTTGCAGGTGAGCACTAATACCTAACCTAAATGAGAGCTGGGACTCTGCAGATCTCAAGTGGCTTGTTTCAAAGTGTGAACCGATGGGGTGGTGCTTTAGACAGGAGTCCCGAGAACTCTCAGAGCTCCGAGCATTCTCTTCCCTCTTGATGCCGTAGCGTTTCAGCTGACAGCAATTGGGAATGGTGTTGTCAAAGTGATGCATGATAGCTAAGCATGTTTTCCACCCTGACTGCACCTGGAGTCACCGAAAACACCAGCCACTGGGACGCCTCTGTGGGGGGTTTGCTTGATCAGGATTATCTGAAGTAGAAGATCCACCTTCACTGTGGGAGGTACTTCCTGGACAGGGACTAATAAATTTGCTTGCTGCCTGCTTGTCCTCACTCTCGCTGGTATGTCCATCTCTCCTGTTGCTGTTGCATTCCTTCAGCAGTATTAGAACCAACTTTTTTTATGATTCCATTGTATACTGAAGACCGGCAGGAGCCCTACAGGTTGTCAGCGCCAGGTTAGAACTGCATAGACATTCAGCACCATGGACTGAACAAATCCCAGATTCTGGGGCTTTCTGTTGCAAGACAATGATTGTTGGGCTACAAGGACCACATCCATGTAAATCCCCTACATACACACAACTCTCAGCTATTCCTTTTTCAGAAAACTGACTAATAGTCAGTGCAGTCTTAATTTTAGCACAAAGCGCTAAGGCACTAAGAATTGCAGAGATATTTAGAACTGTTCTGATTTTAATGCAGCTTTATTTCCAGAAAATATCTTCACGCTTACAGAAGCAAAGCAGCCAGGATGTGGAGCCAAATCTCCCAGGCTCATTGGCAGCCAAACCACCTGGGATCACCTTGGTCTCTACTTTCTAGCTCTGTTATGTTTGCACGTTATCCCTCACTTTTCTAAGGTTCAATCATTTTAGCTCTGAAATGGGGCTAATATGGTATTCTTTTGATTGCTACAACATAATCTTACACAGGTAATTTAGTTTTATAGGCAAAGAGGATAGATGAAAATCTGGGTTACAAAATAATTTTACCCTTGGATTTCTAGTTGCTTTCGTTATAGGAGCAGTTTCCTTGTGCATTAAAAATGTCCCCTGGCTTCTATAAGTTTGATATAAATATGGTTCATAAACTTCTATGGAAGAATAGATAACATTACTTTCTTTTCTGTGGTCTAGTTTTCCAGCAGAAAGTCTCCTGGAGAGTTGGAGGTAAAGGAGACTGCACAGGGCAGAGACACACAGGTGGGTCTTCAGTGGACTCCTGGGAGTTAACATGGTAAGGTGGAAGTCAGGGGTGCATGGTGTCAGAAGAGCAGGTGAAACACTAGGTAGAGATTGGAAACCCATGTAAAAGTTCAGCCCTACTCAGAAGTTTAATCACATCCCTATTTTTCGATGAAAATGTGATGAGAATTGGTTACGAGGGAGAGAGAGTTTAAAATTCATATCAAGGCTTTAATGGAGTTTTTTATTTGAGGAGACAGCAGTGTCTAAAGCTGCTGACAGTACAGCCGCTATAGGGATGGACTGTTGTACCTGCCTCTTTAGGCTTTACTGACACTCCCCCTCCATGAAGGACATTCTTAGCTTTGTTAAGTATTCCAGGATATTCATAGTAAAGAAGTTCAATAAACAGCCCTTGATTACTTTTTCTGATTAAAAAAGTATTTTTACCCCAACTGTACATGTTCAGACATATCTGTTTGGCTGAATTGTATTAATAACTAGTCTACTAGAGTCCTTTTCTTGTTAAGTTAGTGGCTACGACTATCTATCTATCTATCTATCTATCTATCTATCTATCTATCTATCTATTGTTCTCATTTGTTTCTTCCTCTTGTAGATAAGATAGGCCTGTTCTAATATGGCCACAGGTTTTTTTCTCCTTTTAGATAACGAAACCAAGAACAAAAATTACCCTAGTATTTATGAAGAAAACATAATTGGGCATCTAAAGTTTTGTTAGATGTCTATTATCTTGTATTATATATTTTTATGGCTTTTAAGTAAATTTAATAAGAGAAAAACAACCTCAATTTTCAAAGCATCACAATTAGACATTAGATTTCATTATTTTCTTAGATTACTATTTTTCTGGAATGAGGAAGAAAAGGAGAACTGTAAAGCCTACCCTCTGACTTGACCCTTTGAATTATATTTTTAAAACTTGTTTGTTATCCTTGAACTACAACCCAATGGAATTCTTTTTAAACAATTCAGTGTCTTGATTTATGAATCTATTTTTATCCATTTTATTTTATATTATGTGTATGTATGTGCATGAAAAAAAAAAGCCAGAAAGAGGCCTTGAATACCCTGCAGCTGAAGATAGGAATGTGGCTATCTGCTTGATGTGGGTGCTGGGAACTGAATTCTGGTTCCATGCAAGAGCATAAAGGATTTAACTGCTGATCCATCTCCCCAGCCCATGATTTTTAATGTTTTGTAAGTATTTTGTAAACCAAATTTGGCTTTAGATACTACAGTCTACTGGAGTCTGTGAGCCCAATCTGGTGTGTGGTTTGTTGTAAACATATGAAGAATCAGAAATGACTTTCACATCTTGAAATGTAAGAAAAACAAACAAAAGACAAAAATTGCTATAGAAACTGTTTATGTCCCACGAATTCCAAAATGTTCACTGTTGTTGTCCAGAGCCTTTATGAAGCATGACTTGTCTTAGATTAACAAGCCAACAAACAGGACCAATCATCAGCTATAGAAAAAGTTTCACGTTTTGCCTGGTGGCTTCAGGGCAATAGTAGAGCAGCTTCTCCAATATAACCTCTAACCTTTATGCGAGGTAGAATTTACCTGCCTTGGTTTTAAACAGAATCTTGTTCTCTGGTGCTGTAATTAATCTACAGTGTAGATTCAGTTCCAGAAAAATCGTCATTAGTGAGGATGCAGAACACATAGACTGAGGATTCCGTGCTGCCCGTCCTGAATGTGCAGAAACCACACTGGGAAGGGCAGAAATCTTTCACAGTCGGGACAGAAGCGAAGGCATTAGGCAGCCAGAGAAAAGGTCCCTGGCTTATTTGCAGTAGATATAAAACAAGCAAAGCCAAGATGATCGATAGCGAAAATGTGCTTTGCTCCAGCTTTTTTTTTTTTGCTTGTGTATAAGTGTGCATGTGCAAAGCACAATTTTATTCCTTTAGTGAAAGAGGAAACTGATTTTCAATCACTCTCCCTCCTCCCAGGCCAACCACCTTGTGATCAGCAGTGATTTACTCTTACATTCCAGAACATGGCTCCTGCTAACATTCTGGCGTTAGATGACCGACCTTTGTCTGGACCATTTCGTGCGGGGAAATTGCTCCAGTAACTGAAGAAAGGAAAAGAGCAGAGCCCTAAGGTAAGGCAGTACGGAAGGAGAATGTGATGCAGAGCAAAGAGGTCAGGTTAGGGTTGTCGTGTGTCACCAGACCTCTTTGAGTACAGACAGGTTTCATGTGATGCTTTTTGATAATGACCTTTCTTATTAAAAAACAAACCAAAACAACCAAACACCCCAAGCCCAGTAAAAAAGATATTTTATGTATCTATTTACCATATTAATTTTCATTTATGAATTCATTTCGTCCCAGTTCATTCCATTGGTAGTACTGCTAATGGCTCAATTATGTTCCATTTGACATCAATCAATGTAGAAAATACAGAAACAAAGGACTCAAGCGACAGCCCCTACATAAACATGCAGAGATTGGGCAGGTTCCTTAAAAATCCCTGAGGAATTTGTGGGAAAATACTGCTAACCACAAAGCCATTCCTGGAATATTTCCTCTTGTCTGGCTCTGGAGGATTCTTGGTTGTCACATGGCCTTGAAGAAAATGCGTGGCCCTGTTTCCTTGCTCAGGGACCACTTCCCATGGTGCCGGCCACAGCCCTCCAGCTGACCTTTGGGGAATGGTGACACAAACTTCCTGGCTCCTCGCTAGCAACATCTTTGATCAGTCCTTTAAAGAAGAAAATCCCAGGGATTGGAGACTCAGCCAAAGAAGTCAAGGAGCGAAGGGGAAGGACGGTTTCAACAAAATAGACAGAGGAAACGGTTTTGAGGCCTTGAAGAGCATCTAAAGAAGCAGACTCTGGTCTGCCCCGTTTACTCTGGATCAGCTTTACAGTACAGAAAGGTATTGTTCCAGGATCGGTGGTGAGAGACGCAGCTTTGTGCTTCGTCTGGTGAAAATGTGCCCAGTCCTGTCATCATGCATCATTTACAGAGTGAAATAGAACCAAATTCAAATATCTTTAAAAGTCTTTGTCTCTCTGTTTCTCTCTCTCTCTCTCATACACACACAGACACACACACACAAGTCTCTCTGTCTCTCTCTTACACACACACACACACACACACACACACACTCACTCTCACTCGTGATTGGAATATCAGGAGATATATTCCTACCTGGCAGGATGCTCAGTAGTGCAATGAACACCTTTTACAGCTGTCCTAAAATATTCATTGGTTTGGGAAGCTAGTATTCTTTAGCCATCATGCTGTATCTATCTTGTTATAAAAGGAAAACTCCAGTATAAGTGGGCGTCAGTGATTCCGGAGCATGCTGTAATATCCACGGAGGCTTCCTGATAGCGTTACTTGGGCGTCAGTGATCCCGGAGCATGCTGTAATATCCACGGAGGCTTCCTGATAGCGTTGCTTGGGACAGTCTTCAGAATTAAGTTGTCGTTGGAAAGGTTTGGTATGCTTTGATTTTTCTTAAGATTCAAAAATATCTGAATCTATAAAAACCAAGACGAAGAATGTAAACACGAATTCATGAATGTATTCACCTACGTCTTCAGGCTCTGTCCATCAGGGGACAGCTTGTTCTCCGACATGTGTGTGCCTGCCTTTGGAATCCACAACACATTCCAGGGAAATGATATCCTACCCGGCTTGGTTGTTTACTCTGATGAGAGCATATTTGAACCTCATTTTTGCCCTCTTCAGTTTGTTTACATTGAAGCAAAACATTCTCACGCAGGGAAAGAGTCCATACTCTTTCTCAGTGGAGGAGGGCGTTTCTTTCTAGGATCAGCAACTTCGTGTCTGTAGAGTTAATTAACAGGAGGTTGGAGACCAGTCCTTCAGGCTACACGTCTGTATCCGTGATCTTTGGCAAGGGCAGAGCACTATCACAGGCAATGGATGAGATATGCAAATAATGGAACCTAACTAGAGCTGTGTTCTCAGCCTGCTGTCTGCTGATAGCAGAGCGGTTCTGACCACCATCACCTTGGAGGATCTGAGAAACTCCTCTGTGAGAACAGCAGAATGGTTTAGAGTTAAAATCCTCGTCCAGCTTGCTGTGACAGCTTACATTTTTTTCACACCCTTCTTGCTGTGATGGAAAGTCTTCCACATCGGAAGAGATCTGTGCAAATCATTAGACAAAGTCTATCAGTCATGTACGTCTGTAAGCTTTGATCATTCGAAAACGTTATTTTAGATTGACATCCTGCCTCACTCAAAGCAGGCGCTGACAGCATGGCACTGCGTAAGTTTCAGTCTACTATAAAAGTTTAACGTTTTAGATGCTTGGCTTTGCTGAATGCCTACCTCCAGTGCTCAGGAGTCACTAAGCACATTTTGTGGCTATGGAGCACAGTTTCTGCTCAATTGTGATGTGCCCTAAAGTGGAGGGAATATATGGGGCTTTAAAGACAGTTGAAACAGTGTTTGTATATAATTGGTTAAACCATGAATGCTGCCAAAGTTTCTTTCACTTGTTTCTTTTGACTTTGCTAAGTATGATTACATCTTAATCACTGGTATATCTACAGTTGACATGCATAGTTCACATTCTTCTTCTTCTGAGTAATGCTCTCTAAAGGCTTGAGAAGTAAGCTATGAAGAGACATTATGTTATGTTTTGTGCTGGTCTCCTGCCTTTGAAGTAGTCCAGTAAGATCCTTAATCGCCACAAACCCCTTTGAAAAGCCTAGGAAACGCCTCTTACTAGGATCCCAAGGACAAGGACCTCAAAGGATGTTGTCATCCTGGCTGTGACTCGTGAGCTAAAGCGAACTTCGAGTTCATACTTCACTGGGCAAAACACGCATACTCAGCTGTTGCCCCTATTACTACTAACTCTTCCTCGGTGTGCTCCTAAAAAGTAGAAGAATCTTGAGGTAGAATCAAGGAATGTTTCAGTTCACAATTTTCAGAGTCAGTATCTAGTAGAGAAGAGAACCTTAAAAAAAATGTTTGCTGAACTGAGATAGTGAGTGCAAATACAAATTACAGGTGCCTCTGCATTGCACCACAGTGTAATTGAACTCAGCTTCTTGCTGCAGTGACGAGAGTTCTGTTCTAACATGATGTGACTAGAACAAATGCCAGCTCTGAGGGATGTAGACAGTAGCATAGGGGGAGTTCTGGGAGGTTGGGGCAATTCAAAGATCCAAAAGCATAAGGAAACCAAACAAAGTTTATGTTGTTACCCAAGTTAGTTAGAATGTGTTGGTGGCAAGGATCCAATAGCTCCGAGAAGTCAGTGTAGGCCTGAGATCTTGACTTATGATGGAAGTCAATGATGGTGCTTTGAGGCCCCATGAAGCAAAGTTCAGGCTAGTCATGGGCCTCTGATGTACTTCTTACAGCTTGAGTAGGTGGTTGGTTGTGGCTCACATGGAGGTCTGATCCCTCTGGCACTAATAGGAGTTGGCTTCATTTGATTATGGACAGGATAAGTTAGAGTCAGGTTCAGATATGTATTGAAGATTTTCAACATAAAGCACCAACAAGAGGGTTGAGGAGATAGCCAGGTATGACAAGTGCTTTTTTTTTTTTTAATGAGTGTGAAAGCCAGAGCACAATTCCCAGAACCCACATCAAAAAGCACGATGTGGTTGTTCTATGCTTATAGTCCCAGTGTTGAAGAGGAAAAGCCAGAACCCTGGGGCTCACTAGCTAGCCAATCTAGCTTATCCATGAACCCCAAGACTCAGTGAGACTCCTTCTCCCAAAACACAAGTGCAGAGTTCCTTAGAAAAACGTCTGAGGTTCACCTCTGACCTCCACATACGTGTACCCTTCTAAGAACCCATGTGCATGTGTGTGTATGTGTGTGTGTGCGCGCGTACACACACACACACACACACACACACACACACACACATACATCTACACACATTGTAAGCAGGGTTTCTTTAGTTACTCAGTTGTGGAAGACAGAGACTGAGCATTTAGGGTTTATAAATACTCTTGGAATTCAGTAAGAGAATAAAAATCTCTTTTCCAACCATCAACCAGCTACTAGATGTTGCAGAGTTAAAGCATTCTTTTTCCTTTTCTTTCCTTTTCTTTCCTTTTCTTTCCTTTCCTTTCCTTTCATTTTTTCCTTTCATTTCTTTCTCTTTTTTCCTTCCCTTCCCTTCTCTTTCCTTTCCTTTTCATTTCCTTCCCTTCCTCTTCCTTCCTTCCTTCCTTCTTTTGAGAAAGGGTCACTCTGTTTAATGGTGGCTATCTCGAACTTGCCCTGTAGACCAAGCTAGCCTCAAATTTACAGAGAGCTGCTGGCCTCTGCCTCCCAAGTGCTAGGACTAAAAGTATGTGCCACCCTTCCCAGCTCTCCCTTCTCTTTATTCTTTCTAGCGACTTGGAGAAGAACAAACTAAAAGGTTGTAACACTCGGGAACGTCTCCTCTGTAAGGACTACCCGCTGACACTATAATGGTTTATGAAATGACCTTAACTCGCAAAGCTTTGTTTCACAACGACGGTAGCATAGGCACCTCATACCATAACACAGATATGATACCGAGCTGATACTGGCGGTTCTTCACACCCGTCCGATGCTCTAATCTGGGTTTCAATAACTACTTTGGTACCTCTTGTATTCTGAGAAATGTTAAAATTAGCAATGTATGGAAGAGTAGCTTGGAAGATAGACATGCTAAATGGGAACACAAAGAAGCTTTTGTGTCATTATTACTGGTCCGAAATAAAACTGGTGACTAATGTGTGCTATAAACCTGACATCAATACTGCTTAATATTGGAATTAAACTATAACTTGCATTTTGTTCCCCTTTCAAGAACATGAATCGTACATTCATCCTAAATAGCTTTTGAGCAGACTTGGCTTCCATAGAGGATGGGCCCATCTGAACCCCATTTCTGGTGGTGAGGCTAATCACAAAAATAGATAGCTCTCTCAGATTTGACAATTTAACACCTTTCCTGAGAGCTGAATTTATTGAGAAAATGAACATCTTCATACCTTTGGTATGAAACCTCTGAACAAGCACAAATACTTCTGCAGCCCATAATTGCTAGTTTGTGCCATTAAGAAAAATGTGCATAGTTTTCTGTGGATTTGAAGCTCTGAACCCCACCCCCACTCCACAGTGACTCCCCTTTGCCCTCCAGACCCAGCAGTCTTATAAATACAGCATAAATCCCCATGCACTGTAATTATTGTGGTCAATTATGCTAAACCAAGCACATAGCTTTTTCCTCAAACATTTTTGTGAGGAAAAACTTGCCTTTGTGACTCATTTCTAGAGCTGGACCAGCAAGTTTGGGTCATGTGAGAATTCACTCATTTTCCTTTCCCTTCCATGTTTGAGATTGTCCACAAGAAGGAGAAACTAACTAAATTAACTGTTTGTTACCTGGACTGGCAGGAAAAGAGGTGCTAAAAGTGGACAAGTGTTTGCAATGTCTTCATACTGAACAGCAGCCTTGACCAGCTAACCTCCAATGTAAAGGCCATTTGTGTCCTCTGCGAGTTGCTTCATGACTACATAATGGATATACCATCAAACTCACCCATTACAATAAATGAAAAATTCAATGACTTTTTAATTCAAATATTAAATGGTAAGGTAAGAATGACCACTGGAGATTTCCAGTATTCCTCAGAGCTTCTTCATGCCAGTTTCTAGGCAATCTTTGCCCTGTTCTCATCCTCAGTTCAGTACAGCCATTAATGTGAGTTTTTTCTTTATAAACTTCCTTTCTACATTTCATAAAACTGAATCCATGTATCACCTACCTATCTTAATAAATCAATCAATCAACTCTATTTCATTTCTGTTCACTTACTTCTTGTTTAGTTTCTTGTCAGCCCAAACTTATTTCTCTCTTGGGGCATATGATTTCATCAGGAAGATGAATAGTTTATTTTTCCAGGATTTTTCAATGTTAAATCAATATATATATATATATATATATATATGATTTAATATATGTTAAATATATTTATATATTTATTTTTTATATAAATATATCATTTAATATATGTTAAATATTAAACATATATATCATTTAATATACGCTAAATATATAAACATGCATATCATTTAATATATGTTAAATCATATAAACATATAAAGATATATATATGATCTTTGCTAAGTTGCCTGGTAAACCGTGAGGCAGAAGACAGTTATTTTTGGAGGAATTTATCTTTGTGATGTATTTATTTATTTTTTTCCACTACAAAATAAATCCAAACTGTCTGACAGAAAGCTGATCAAAGCTGGTACTTCCTACACTTGGGGCATGTGCAGTGTGATACACAGAACATCAGAAACGTTCCCTTCCCTCCACACATGCCTGTGTCCCCATGTCTGGAAACTAAAAATAGGTTAGGTCATATGGAGGGTTGTGAAGCTGATAATCCATTGACTCTAAAATAGGGAATTGGTCTTACCTTTTAAAAATAAGCTTAATACATTTGAAAAATCCTCAAAAGTACCAAAGGAAGACAGAAGAGGCTGTCAGATTAACAGAGTGGAAAAGCTCAACTGGCCAATGCTGGCTTTGAAAATGGAAGGAAAGGGATGTGAGTCATGGAATACAGGTGCACTAGAAACTGAAAAAAGCAGCAAACAGATTTTCTTCTGTATAGTCCATAAAGGCAAATGCACCTCCGCACTTTTATTTTGGCCTAGTGTGAACATGCTGAAGCTACAGAAGCCTGGGACAAAAGTTGCTGAAACTGTTAGCTTAGAGTAGTGGTCCTCAACCTTCCTGATGCTGCAACCCTTTAATACGGTTCCTGATATTGTGGTGACCCCCAACCATAACATGAACTTTGTTGCTACTTCATAACTCTAAATTTGCTGCTTTTCTGAATTGTAATTTAAAAATCTGTTTTTTCCAATGAACTTGAGAGACCCCTGTGAAGGGTCATTTGACCTGCAGTGACCGACAGGTTGACAACCACTGGCTTAGAGGCAACTAGTGACAGCAGCAACTGGGAAGTAATACTACCAGCGACTTGTTGCTTCCTTTCTGCATGGTGTTTACCCAAGGCTGTCCCTGCATAGCTGCAGGCCTGTATCCACATAGGAAGTCGTCTTATTCTGTGCATGTCTCTCTGTGTGCCACTATACTAAAAAACGCACCCCTACTTCTGATGATTCTTTATTGTGGCCAGATCTTCCATTTGTGCAACACTCCTGGCCTTTCTCTCCTTCCTTACACACTCTTTTCCCAAGTGTGTAGATGGCCAGTCTGCTCTGTGAGCTGGGGGAAAGGAATTTGGCCCTGCTAAAGAGGGTTCTTTGGGGGATCTACCTCCCTACATGGATGGCACTCAGCTCTGTCTTCTGAGAATAGGTATGTGGATCTGCCTAATGAATCTCTGATCGCAATACCAGGAAATATTCAAGCATACCTTTGTATATATAGTTAATATAGGCCTTTGTGTGCTCCTTTCGGACTGAATGGCTGTGGGACTAGGCGGGACAAAAACCTCTGTCAATACTCCCTACTTTGCTAGTGGGTATCAATTACAAATAGCTTTTTGGCTAGGGGTGAGACTTCATGTCTCCTTCTCCTCAGTACTGGGACCCTGTCTGGCTTGATCCTCTCCTAGTCTTGTTCATGCTGCAACAGTCTTTGTGAGTTCATACATGGATTACTCCTTTTGTATCTGGAAGACACCAGGCTCTTGAAGTCATCTGTCACCGCTGACTCTTGTAATCTTCACTCTCCTCTTCCATGGAGCTCACTGAGCCTTGAGGGGAGATGCTTGATGAAAACTTCCCACTTAGGGCGGAGTGCTCCAAAGTCAGTTACTCTCTGTTCATCATCCAGTCATGGGTCTCTGTCTTGACTCCCACCTACTCCAAGAAGAAGCTTGTCTGATGTCCCCATGAATCATGCCATCTATGAATACAGTGATAGAGAGGTACTAGTGAGGTAGAGGAAAGCACCACTTGAGTTAAGTGACTTCACAAAATCCACGTAGCCACTTGCAATGGGGAAATGCAGAGCCATTCTAAATTTAGCATGTAAAGAGTCATAGCTTCAAGAATCACATTTAACAAACATCACAATTGTTAAGTGATAGGCAATCATTTAAGAGCTGTTTTAACATATGGAGGGAGGAAAAGATGGAGTTTCCTGTGGCATCTACATCCAGCTCGTGCCGCCGTCTTCACTAACAACAGATGGGCCTCTAATCAATATTTTAAAACAGCTGAACATTTGTTTCAGCATTTGACTGACATAACCATTGAGTACAGGCACAGAAAATATTTTAAGCCTTATAGATATGTGGGCATTTATTTTTTCTCCTTCATCGTCTTTCTAAATGGTGTCTGGGAGGCTGCAATAGATAGATGCTCATATAGACATGGTTTTAGAGGGAACACACAGCTCAGAGCCTCATGGTACATGTGGTAATACTACAGTGGAAATACACTGGCTGCTACCCAAGCTCAGGTTTTCAGTGATACCCAGAAAGTGTCAAAGGAGAAGGATAAGTGAAAAAGAAGACAGAAAATGATGGTAGGAAAACAGAAAATGTAGAAAGAGGGGGAATGAGGACATATTTGTTAGCCGTGTATGGAGCATCTCTATGTAGCCTGAAGGCAGAAACCTGCTGCTACTGACCCAGAACTATGCATACTGCCTGGTTGATTTTCATTTAATTCACTTAACTGATGTATTGGGAAGACAACTTATTGGAATAAATTTGTTTTTTAACTAAAAGAACTAGTATTCTAGCTATCATCAGAGATCATGGTCTTTGCTGACCCAAACCTCACAGAGAGAAAATATAATTAAGTTATTAAAGAAAAAGCTTGAAAATTACTGGAAGCAGATGAATAAAGTGCTGTGGGAACCTATGAGGTATTCTTTGCTCTATTGTAGACCCTGGGGACTCTTTATGAAACATAAAGCCTTGAAGAATAGTAGGCAAGGTCTGGGGAGGACCAGGCCTGCTATGCAAACAAGAATATCACAGTATCTTGAAATGGATTGCCTGGACATAAGAGGCTAGGGATACATGGGGGTCTTGTAAGCAGAAGGGTATTGAGCTCAGGGCTAACCTGGGATCCGTAGCAAGACGCTGAATGAAAGAAAAGTGTT